AAATAACTGATAAATAAGTAAAAACTTACCTGGGCATAACCCCGGCACAGGTGCTGTAACAAAGATGCCGACGGCGTCTATGCTTAAGCCGGGGATTAGGTCGGTGATTAAAAGGAAAGAAAGGGATTCTTTCCAGGTAGCCTTAATAAAGGCAGGTAGAATTTGCTCCTTGCACTACACTTTCACAAAACACGTGTGCTCTGGTCGGCTGCCCGCTAGGAACTGAATCAGGGAACAAACCTAGTGAAACAATGCACACATCGTATTTTGCATCAGCTGTTGATGTGCGGTTTATTAATAAGGTTAGTTAACAAATTTCGAACTTTCGGAGCAATCACTGAAATTCTATTGGAGCTAATTACGGAACGCACACACCGGCACGTCACTTCTCTTTCTCTCTCTCTGTGCCTGTCAATGTCAATGGTCTATCACTGTGGCTGTCTCCGTCAGTCGCACAAATTATCAGTCGGCTTCTTTGATCTGGGAATCGAAGATTTTTTTTTAGACGTCTGTGCATCCTAAATTAATATCAAATTTTATCATTCAGTCTGTTAACATAAGTTCACTTAGTCACTTACACTTATTTTATCGTAAAACTAATAGAACACTCCACCAAGATAGAGGTGATAGAGGAAGAGATAAATCATAGAGGGCGCTAGCAATTCTTTCAACTACAAATTTAAACTGTTTTATATACTTCTCTAATCTAGGCTGTTTTACAAGGGTTTTACCATTTCTTTTCGTGGTAGAGATTTCAAGAAAACAGAGATATTTTATGAAATTTAAAGTGGTACTTAGTGAAGTGTTTTATATAGTGCAAGTGTATAACCTTACAAAGTTATTTCAGTGTTTAGTGACAGTAGTGTGTTTGTGCGTCTTCACTGTTAAATTTCTGGTTGAGATTTTAAAAAATAATACTTACTTGTATCTGAAACAGGAAAAGTGAGATTTGAGAATAACTAAAGCCCCCATTTGTTTATGTGCCCAGGACCAACCAACACGTGCAATGGAAAGAGAATGTTTACGGTTGCACAGTTTAAACAGTGAACTGTTTTTATTCAAGTTTTTCCTTTCCTTTCCAAACCCAGATATTTTTTTATTAAAACTGCCAAATATTCAACTTAATTTATTAATTCTATAAAAAGTTACACTAATTTTTAAAGATGTACTAGACACTAGACGGACATCTAGTTTCCCATTCAAGTGTTCTGTTTTTCCAACTTCTTCTTCAAAGACTCCGGCATCTGACCGGACGGCGGTCGCGGCATTCTCATTATAACCTGAAAAACAACCCACATAAGTCCCCTTGCTTCGAATTCAACCTTCCTCAGTGCTTTGCTCGCTCACCTTGAACGCGTCATAGATAAACCACTGCAATCCCGTGAGAGTCCCGATCATGATGATCCTCGGTGTCAGCCCCTTCCACAACCCCGCCATTCCCAACTTCTTGGCCGCCTCTAGGGCCGTGGAGCCCTTCTCTTGGTTCAACTTGCTCACCACTGTATCTGCCGGGTGCGAAATGACCGCGCAGAACACTCCGGCGATATACCCAGCCGCGAACGTCACTAATAACTGCTCGCCTTTGGTACACTCGGCCCTGGGCTTGGGCATCACGTACTTATAGAGAATCTCCACCGTACGCTCAAAGCAGGCGAACTTCGCCATGGTGTAAGGGATCTGCCTCATCCAGAGCGGCACCAGAGCCTTGTAGAAGGCGTTCATACCTGCACAAAGCGTAGAGAATGTTAAATTAGAGAGTGCGACTTCACTCTCGACCCCGAATAACCTTCGTCGGCATACATTTTGGGGACCGCTTCCCTTAACTTGTTGGCGAAACCCGAAGTTGTCTGGATCTTCACTTTTATCGACTCCATGGGCGACAGGGCGATGTCGGCGAAGAACTCGGCGCTGGCTGACGCCGCTAGGTACAACCAGGTGCGGTACAGATAAGCGTACTCCTCTCCAATTAAATTGGCATACCAGACCTGAAAGTAATACAACGATTTTTCCGATTCCGGATCGATACTTAGAAATTCCTTACTTTAAACACTTCGTACAAGCCGAACTTGCAGAGACCTTGGGCGGAATACCCGAATAAAGTGGGTGCCCAGCCCTTGACTAAGCCCTTAGTTCCGTCCTCGCTCAGAGTCACTTTAAATCCGTTCTTTATGTTTTTGTATTTGCCGGGATCGACTTGCATGCGACACTTTACGAGGTCCAGGGGTACAAGCAGTGTGTGGGTCGTTCCGCATGAAATAATACCTTAAATAGACGTTTCGGTAACTGTTACAAGCTCGAAAATGTTATAGGTTTGAATGTGGGTGAGATATAACCTACAAAGTATATATCAAGCCGTAAATGTCATTGCTACTCAAAGTATTACTTTGCACCTACTGTGCCTTGCCTTCTGTCAGTAGGCACTGAGCAATGACATTTAAGATATGACATATGCTTTGTAGGTTATATCTTGCCCACACTCAAACATCTCGCTAGATGGACATCCAAATGGCGTAATCGTTTGTCAGTCGTCTCACCTGAGGCATGAAGCTCACAATNGTGGAGCCCTTCTCTTGGTTCAACTTGCTCACCACTGTATCTGCCGGGTGCGAAATGACCGCGCAGAACACTCCGGCGATATATCCAGCCGCAAACGTCACTAATAACTGCTCGCCTTTGGTACACTCGGCCCTGGGCTTGGGCATCACGTACTTGTAGAGAATCTCCACCGTACGCTCAAAGCAGGCGAACTTCGCCATGGTGTAAGGGATCTGCCTCATCCAGAGGGGCACCAGAGCCTTGTAGAAGGCGTTCATACCTGCACAAAGCGTAGAATGTTAAATTAGAGAGTGCGACTTCACTCTCGACCCCGAATAACCTTCATCGGCATACATTTTGGGGACCGCTTCCCTTAACGTGTTGGCGAAACCCGAAGTTGTCTGGATCTTCACTTTTATCGACTCCATGGGCGACAGAGCGATGTCGGCGAAGAACTCGGCGCTGGCTGACGCCGCTAGGTACAACCAGGTGCGGTACAGATAAGCGTACTCCTCTCCAATTAAATTGGCATACCAGACCTGAAAGTAATACAACGATTTTTCCGATTCCGGATCGATACTTAGAAATTCCTTACTTTAAACACTTCGTACAAGCCGAACTTGCAGAGACCTTGGGCGGAATACCCGAATAAAGTGGGTGCCCAGCCCTTGACTAAGCCCTTAGTTCCGTCCTCGCTCAGAGTCACTTTAAATCCGTTCTTTATGTTTTTGTATTTGCCGGGATCGACTTGCATGCGACACTTTACGAGGTCCAGGGGTACAAGCAGTGTGTGGGTCGTTCCGCATGAAATAATACCTTAAATAGACGTTTCGGTAACTGTTACAAGCTCGAAAATGTTATAGGTTTGAATGTGGGTGAGATATAACCTACAAAGTATATATCAAGCCGTAAATGTCATTGCTACTCAAAGTATTACTTTGCACCTACTGTGCCTTGCCTTCTGTCAGTAGGCACTGAGCAATGACATTTAAGATATGACATATGCTTTGTAGGTTATATCTTGCCCACACTCAAACATCTCGCAAGATGGACATCCAAATGGCGTAATCGTTCGTCAGTCGTCTCACCTGAGGCATGAAGCTCACAATACCACTACTTAAAACTATTAGTTTACCTCCCAGACCGCACAGCAGAAAATACTGGAGCGATCCAAATTCACAACTGTCTCCTTGTGCTACGGAAGCAGCTGCAACTTGACGGCCAGTTACGAGCTCCGTTCGGTTAGCTTCAACGTCAAAGTCTTTCGTGGATGGCCGACATGCAGCTCGAGAAAATAAAATGGAACGATCTAAAAATTGCTTTCGGAAGTATTCAGAGTATAACTTGATTCAAAAACATAATTAGGAGGTGGTTCCTTGGATTATTTTATTTAAGAAAATATAGTTCGTTCAATGAGGGTTTAGTTTTGGATACAGAAAAATATTACAATGCGTAAATATATCTGAAGATGTTTGGTGTGGTCTGAAGAAACTTGGGCTAGTGACATAACGAATTTTGGAAATTAGATAATTTGTTGTCTAATTGTATTTCACTGAAAAAACATGAGATTCTGTTGTAAATACGATTTCAAATAAAATGTCATCATTAAAAGTCGATAAAGAACCATCGGCACATAATTTTAAAAATATCTGTCTAACAAGTGGTTTTAGACGTTATTTACTCCAATTTCCAGAATGAGCTTATATTCTCCATGCCACCGTTGAAGTAATTATTAAATTCGATTAATTTTTATCGTTACTAAGTTAAATTTAAATCACTAACCCAGGATTAATCACAACGTAAACATCTTCAAAGATATTTAGGACAGAAATTGGTATGAACTTTTTTTCTTAGAGTTAAGAATAATCCAAGGAATTACATTTCCAAGTATATGTTTTGTGGCATCATAATTTCTTACACAATTTTCTGCTTGTCATAGAATTATTTTCTTTGCACTGTTCATATTGACTGGGTTTTGATATTGGCCACATTTTCAATTTAATCAAACATCAAACTGATTTGAAATTAAATTGACAATTCAAGTTAGCGCCTACTAGATGATTGCAATTTTTAGCCAAGTTGTTTCACTCATGATCTGAAATCAAAGCATCTGATTGGATGAATTTAAAATTTTGTCATAGTTATTTAAATTCAACCAATCAGACGCTCTTTTCAGGTTCAAAATATGACAATCACGAGCAAAGGAATCGCCCTTTGTATCTTTTATCTACAGTTCATTTGAACTACTCTACTACACAAGTTGATTCTCATTTTGTACTTTTTAGGTATCTAAAGTAAATAAAACAAAACGAACAGTTCCAAACTGTATTAATTGTATCTATATACAATAATCTAGAATAATGGAGGTATATAACTTAAAAATATTAAATCAGGACATGACGAGACCATGTTAAATATGACCGACTATTCTTAAATACTGAATTTAGCGATTTTTTCATGTTGGAAAGTCCATTAAATTAAAACTTAACTCATTTATTGTTTTTGCTGTGCTTGCGCCTCTTGAGCCTCCAACTTCAACCTCAAGGACTCGGGCATGACGCCGGGTGGTGGACGTGGCATACGCATCGCCACCTGGAAAAAAAAACGTTATTGAAAACTTTCACCAAAAAATTACTCCAACGGGTAAAAAACGCTACACACCTTGAACGCGTCGTAGATGAACCACTGCAGGGCGGTAAGCGTACCGATCATGACGATCCTAGGCATCAGCCCCTTCCACAACCCCGCCATTCCCAGCTTCTTGGCGGCCTCGATAGCAGTCGAACCCTTCTCCTGGTTCAACTTGCTGACGACAGTATCGGCGGGGTGGGAAACGATGGCGCAGAATACACCGGCGATGTAACCTGCAGCGAACGTGACGACAAGCTGTTCGGATTTGCTGCAATCTGCCCTCGGTTTAGGCACGACGTATTTATAGAGGAGTTCGACGGTACGCTCGAAGCAAGCGAACTTCATCATGGTGTAGGGGATCTGCCTCATCCAGAGAGGCACCAGGGATTTGTAAAAACCGTTGAGACCTAGAAAACACACCGTTTAACTCAACACACGAAATAAATAGCATTAATTCACCTTCTTCAGCGTATATCTTGGGCCAGGCTTCCCTCAAGGTGTTGGCAAATCCGGGGGTGGTCTGGATTTTCACCTTAGCGGCTTCCATGGGCGAAAGCGCGATGTCAGCGAAGAACTCGGCGGTAGCGGAGGCGGAGAGGTACAACCACGTACGGTACAAGAACGCGTTCTCTTCTCCAATAATATCACTGTATATCACCTGAAGATAACAAATTAGTTCGGCCATGGAAGAAACCAAAGCGCAGACTTACTTTGAAGACCTCGTAAAGTCCAAATTTGCAGAGCCCTTGGGCCGAATAACCAAAGAACGTGGGGGCCCAGCCTTTCGCGAGGCCTCTAGCTCCGTCCTCGCGCAACGTCACTTTGAAACCATTGAAAACGCTCTTATATTTAACCGGGTCGACCTGGATACGGCACTTGACGAGATCCAGAGGTACGACGGCTGTGTGGGTGATACCGCAGGATAAAATACCTTAAAAATGGAATTATTTAGCACAGCACGAATAAAACTGATTTTTTCTTATACCATTACGAATTGGAGTTCAAGGAGTGCTAGGAAAACAGGATTAAGCTTCGGAAAAGGTCAGTTGTAAATATCTTATTCCCTACCTCCAAGTCCGCAAAGCGCAAAGTAGTGTAAAGAAGCGAACTCGCAACTGTCGCCTTCGACGACGGCAGCGGCGGCGATCTGTCGTCCGGCGACGAGAGACTGTACCAGCCCCCTTTGCGGTACCTCACATTTCGACTCAGCTTCTACGGACTTGTTTTCCGGGGCTTGGCAGAAAGTCTTGGAGAAGAACGATGAGAACATGGTGGTGTCGGTGCTACTGTCGTCTGCAAAACAAATTCATAAATGTGTCAATTACGATTTCGTTAATTGATTTATTGGCAGTTAAGACAGTCGTATATCCTAGCGCGAAGGTCGATAATGTGACAGTGACATATGACATAACCTAAAACATGACATAGAAAGGCATGTGACACTTTAACGTGCGTAGGATAATCCAATTTTTTATCGATTTTTCATTGGAAAATGTTAATTCATCGATAGCACCTACAAATTTTGATTGCAATGAACTTTTATCTCACTAACGAGTAGTTATATAACAGATTATTGAAGATGGATTACCAGTAACGAAACAAAGCCGCAAAATTTAAAGTAATACAGCGAAAACCAAGGAAATTGAATACTTTAAAAACTATGTGGCTATTATTGATTTAATTGTAATTCACTTGAATTTACAGAATGTCGGAAAAGTTATCATTAAAGCTGAATTTATTACATAAGCAACATTTATACACGTACTTATAGGAATTCATGATAAAAAGAGTATCAATAATAATTTAACAACGCTTAAAAAGTGGTAAAAACATATAAGTGCTCTGTAACTCATTAAATAATTGAAAAAAGTTGCAAAATTGTAGGACTTACCGTCTTAAAAATGGCCGTCAGCCGCTAGAGGCGTAAGTAAATCGCGACCTGTAAAATATTAACCACTATTCCACGCAGTCCCTTGCGCAACTGGGTGCATTACGAGGGCACGTGGTCAATGTTCAAGGTCCTTCATTATCAAATATTTTAGGTCAAACTTTGTGCTATTGCACGCATGTCTTACAATTGCATTTAACTGAAAGAATTTACCTCTGAAAATCATTTGAATTGTGAGAGGATACGGCTCTAAATTTAATTTTGTTTCGTAACCCATATGTATTGATTATTTTTTAAATTTACCGCCGTTTGTTATTGTCGATAAACTAGCATACATATTTATTAACATCCTTTAAATTACCGCGTTTATTCGTCGCAACAAGTAGGTTTGTATATAAAAATAAACAAATACTTTGAATGAAGAGAACCTAACAGACAGTTTTATGAAATGTAGTTATGTACTGGTGATAATTCTTTGATTTTGCAAATATTTTAAATAATTTGTTTCTATATTTCGCTTCCAATCGGATTTATGCCATACCTGGCTATGAACGCGGTCAACAAATGACATTCGGTATCAAACAAAACGTCACAAAGGTGTCAAAGGTAAATAAAAGATAAAAATGCGTTTTTCTCGATAATTATCTATTAAAATGAAGTTAATTAGTCTCACGCCCTTTAGTACTGTGTCATTGTGTGAATTTAATATAAATAGAAGTAAAAAAACGTTTCAACGAAATGTAGAATTTGTGCTATTACTAATTTTACCATAAATAAAATAAAATCCATCATGGATACAACAACCGCAAGTTACTTCGAGGAAGAGGTCTCGATGACCAATGTGTCGTCGAACCAACACGTCAACCTGGAGAACTTGAAGATGGACTCCAATTTTGCCATGTTGCTCTGCAGCCTGGTATTCGCTGTTTCTTGGGTCATATACATAACATTCTACAACTCCAGGGTGGTGGGCTATATCATAACGAAAATAGTCAACAAGTTTTTTATCAGCGAAGGTTTCTTCAAAATAGGTACGTAGCATCACGAAATATATATTCTTTAACTTACCGTCATTCCCCTAGGTTCCCTAACCATGAACGCTCTCTCCGGTAAAATAATGTTTCGTGACGTGATATACATAACGCAGGACTATGCTGCAAGGGTTCAAGATGGCTACTTGATTTTTCGGTGGTGGAGATCCTACGTTCCAAAAGACGTAAGCGAAGGTAAGGCTATACAAATTCCTTTAGGCTCGTCTTAACGTAGTTACTTTCAGATCTCTCCCATTCTGATACAAGACTGTCTGTAATGCTAAATGGATTCGAACTACATGTATACAATCGTTCCGAGATATACGCACGTCTGGAGAAGGTTTTTGGCCTCGGCTCAAATATATTTCCCAATAACAATTACGATAATAAGGTGGCGGAAGATATTGAAAGGTTAGTAATATACTGTTATTGCGTAAGGGTTTCTGCACATTTTTTTTAGGGCCGAAAATGAAACTCAGGCCGTACAGAAAAAGTCGGGAAAGAAGCAGAAACCTGAAGCAGCTATGGCCAAAACGTGGCGGGACCTGATTCCGGTTATCAAATGTGATATTTCTTCTGTAAGTTGTACATGCTAAAAAATGATTGAATTACCCAAAATTTATTGTAGAGTCGTCTAGTCTTTGGCAACCGACTCATACCAACGACTTTGAGTATTACTTTTGAGGAGTCGCACTTTGTTTATTCTACGAAACCCGCCGTTTGCACTCTAGATAGATTCATGCACTTTGTGAAATGCAAAGCTGAGAACGTTAAGGTTATGCTTGCACCCAGCCCGAAATATACAGGTGAAACTCGATCATAGATTTGTTCCTTAATATATGTACGATTTTTTGCGTTAGGTATGCTCGATGACCCTCCAAGGTACATGGGTGAAGGTTTTGTGCTGATGTCTTCGAACGACTTGGAATTATACTTTTATATGGACGAACCAGGTATCGTACACGGAAAAAATCACTTTAAAACTTGACTTAATGTACGTGAATTGTTTCTCATAGGGGTGGTACCAGAAGAACCGGTTCTGATAACTCTAGCCAACGGAGATATCGTGGAATCCAGTGCTCCGCAGTGGGGCGTTGACATAAAATGCGGGAAAGGTAACTCGGAATTGTCGGAATAAATTTTACGTTGATTCTTGCTTCGTTTTTTAGGTACAGATTTCAGTTACGGGCCATGGGCGGACCGCCAGAGGGAACACTTGTTCAAATTCTTCTACCCGCAAGACTACCTGCCCATGGAGATCACGAAGCCGCCGAAACCGGGCGAGAAGAGGCAGATGCAGTCGTTTGACGTACGTCTCCTCATGCAAAACGAAGCCACTATAGACATCCTCTTCACGAAGGACAAAGAAACGAACGCGGTTCACGTCAATGTGGGCGCCGGGAGTTATCTGGAGATTACTATACCGTGGACAACGTTGCAGGACGGGTACACCACCAAAATCAACGGGCAGCTGTTGCACCTTGAAGCGACCACTAGTCTGCAGTTCAGGGACTTTGTCGAGAGCGAGACTTTGGAATTCTGCATCCTCTGCCACTATCCGCTGGTGTGGAATGATCACCAGCTTTGGGAGGTTAACCTGACGGGTTGCAAGGCTACCGTCAATTTGATTTTTTTCCACAAGTGGTTTTTTACAGGTAAGAATTGACTTTTTATGTAAAAAAAATTTATACCGAGTGTAAGTTTGAGTGGGGGTCATGTTTAAATTAGGCCTGTGTGCTGCCCAGTGACGGCGTAGACAAGAATTTAAGTTCAGTTTAAAAATCTATTTATTTTAATTAAAAAAATAATTACTCCCACTTAAAGTTACGCTCTATATGAGACGCAGCAGCAGTTGAAGCACCGTTTTTGTGTTTCCGAAGACCTGATCAACGATTGGGCCTCCAAACAACGTCCCGATTTGATGCACTTCGTCCCCTACACCTGGCGATTCGGGTTAACACTGAAACACTGTGAGCTCCTCACTCTAGTCAACCAGTACAACTGGATCGATTGCAGCAGCGTCGGCCAACGTAACAGACTCGAAAACACTCAGCTGGCGTTGTGCGCTCATTTTTTGCATCTATCTTTCGACCTTCCCTTCGACGAGTTCCTACCGGATACGGTTCCCGTCAATTTGTCCATACAGGTACGCTTTTTCTTCTAAGGCGAAAAAACGAGATTAATAACCGTTTTTTTTTGAAGGGGGAGAGTATAGACTTAAGTTTGTTTATTCCGGAGTTCCACACGAGCCGTAACATCGTCCTGGCTCTAGAGAAATACGCCAAAGTACTATCTAAAGACGGTTCCACTACCAAGAAGACCGAGGTCATACCGAAATGGCGTAACGTTTGTCAAAATAGGTAACGAGTCGCGTAAACTCTCTTACCGTTACTAGAATTTGTACGTTTCAGCGCCGGATGGGTGGACTTCTGGTGGGTGCCGATAGGCGCCATAAACATCGTGTACACTTACCACCCCTGCCCTCCGTTGGGTCCTAAACCGCAAGCGGACATCTCCACGCCCGTCAAGGAGGAAATACTCCTGTCCCCCATGCGCTTCCCCCACCAGAGGAAGAACCGGAAACGTTCGCCCGACGGCACCCAAAAATTCGACCCGACCAGTTTAAAATCGGACATGGTCAGTGTCGAGCTGGAGATAGGACCGTCGGTCATCCTGCTGTACGGCACTGCTCTGAAGAACTTTATGAATTTTAAGGTAACGGGTATCGTATCTGTCGGTAACGACACGCGGCAATTATTTGTTCGTTTTAGGAAAATATATTCGGGGAAGATCAAGTCTTCACGGACTTGCAGCATACCACGACGACGGAGAGCAGCACGACTTCCGAAATTAAATCTGACGACAGTTCCGCCAACATTCCTTTAGAGTTAAGAGACGATTTCGACCATCGGTATTACAGGCCTCTGGAAGTGGACGTTTCCATTATCATGCACGACGTCCAAGCGCATTTGCTCAAGGTTAGAACAAAATTTTAATAAAAACATTTCCTTCACCATTTTTTTTTTTTTTTAATAGAATTGTACAGAGAAGGATCCGCCGTGCCCGGTGATTCTAGTCGAGAGAGTCGGCTTCGAAATGAAGAAAAGGTACGACCAAACCGAACTTCAACTGTTGTTAAGCCCTGCAGTGCTTCTGGTGTCCGACAACGTGAACCGTTCATCGCGCGACAAGCATTTGAACCAAGGAAAACTCTCTCTGTCGGCCCTTCAAGTAATCCGATGACCAATTTCCATTTTTTACACGTTAACCTGTTTAAAATTTTACAGATACGGGGCCACGCCATGTTCTCCGACGTCGGACAATCCCTGGATCAAGACACCGTCGAGTACGCTTGGCTCGTGGAGATCCAACTGGGCAAACTGAGCGGGAAACTGACCACGCCACAGTTGTACTCCATCCTAGCTTGCCTGGAGACCTTGATCCTGCTCCTAGGAGACGAAGAAAACGAACTGAACTCTCCGAAGGACGATATTCTCTTGAGCCAACCCGTTACGAAGAAAAAAAGCACCCAATCCACCCAGAACGTGCACGTCCAGCACGTGCAGCAAGCCATACAGCAATTGTTACAGCCGAAGAACACCGCCAACGTATCGAGTAAGTCTGGACAGTCTGCCGGCGTCTCCAACAGCCAGAAGCAAAATACGAAGAATAACCTGGAGAAGAAGAAGGAGGAGGACAAGAAGGGTTCTATAAGGAGCACCGTGCCCCCAGACGAGAACCCCGAGGTGTTCAACGAACACAAACTGAAGTACAAGTTGTGCCGCGTGGCCGTCGACGCCATCGATTTCTGGCTCGTCGAATCGGGCGCCGCCCTACAATTTTGGGTGTCGCCGATACGCCTGGCGAGCTGCAACCTGCACGGCAAACAAGTCAGTTCCGGCCTGAGCTGCATCATCTACAGCATGTCGCTGAGGCAGCTGCTGTGGCATCCCCACAAGTACAACCACTCCAAGTAAGCCCCCGTTTCGGTCGAGTTCCTCTTTAAAAATCGAAACTTTCAGGGTGAACATGGACAACACCGACTTCTGGCTGGAGGTGGGCGCCGTCAATTTCGGCCCGCTCATCGTAGAGTCCGCAATATCGCCCGACACGAAGGACCCGAACCTGCACGCCCTCCAGCAGAAGTTCCTGAAGATGCACGACGACAAGCTGAGGAAACTGTGGTTCCTGTGGCCGGAAATGAACAAAACGACGGGGAAGTGCGGCTGTACCGGTGGCTGCGTCTTTTTCGGCAGCAACAAGAACGGCACCAGGTTTTTCAAACCCAGCAAGAAGGACCTGGAGGAGGGGGTGAACATCGCGGCGTTCCGGTGAATAATTTCGCTTAATTTAGTTTTTTAGTGAGTTACATTTGATTTTTTTAGAATAAATGAAGCGGGAAGAGACCCGGGCTTCGGGCAGAGCGTTCTACACGAGGGCATGTTGATTTTCCGCACGCCTCCGTACATCGTGAACGAAATCACCCTCCAGGACACCCTAACCAGGTCCAAACCCTCCAAAAAGGTCTGCGAGAGCCCCAAGGTGGTTCCCTTGGAACGAGACATATCTTTGGACAAGGAGCCCCACGTTTACACCAGTCCCAACGGGCTCGGTGACAGAAAAGTCAGCAGGAGGTTCTCTTCGACCTCGATTAAGTAAGCGGAAGCCCAGAGGTAAAGAAATTTTTAATTACATTCATTTTTTTTGTGACGTAGAAGTTCCCTGATGAAGGAAGTGCCGTACTCAAGGCTGATCGAAACGAGCCCGGCGAACCTGCCGGCGAAGCTGGACAGCGACTCGAAACTGCAGTGCGAGAAGAGTAAACTAGCAGTAAGTGGTAAAGGTTCAGAGCCTCTGCCTAAAAATAGCGTTTCAGATTCAAAATTAGCTGTAGATTATTTTAACGCACCAATCGTAGACGTCAAGGAGCCATACGCTTTAACGCAGAGTGTAAGTTGCATTCGCCGCATTACCCAGTCACACCTCGCATCGCGGCGGTCCCCGTAACGCGACGTTTAAAATAAAACTTTTTACCAGGGCCCCAGCAGCGATATGTCGACGTCGCCACAGCCGACCCTGAAAGGCTTCAACGTTTCCGAGTCGCACCATTCCCTAGGCGGGAGGATCAGTTCCGACGAGAAGCTACAGAAGGAGGTGCAACGCACCACCTCCATGTCCAGCGAGAACCATTCCGAAGCCTTCTACTCCGCCGACGAGGACATGAACTTGAATTCGAGGAGTTCCAGCCTTAGGAACTCGATTCTAAGCTCGGGAGACACGTTCGTGAAGCAAGACAGCAGCAGCGTTCCGCCCCAAAGGTACGTTTTTTCTTTGAAACGGCGAAAAACGGTAAACTCTGGTCTTACAGGAAGAAATTTTCAAGTGAGCTGAGCATCGTGACGGACCGGAACGGCGTGCACCCTTACAGGGGCCTGGGGCCTTTACCGGCGCCCAGTTCCGCGCCTGAGACTCACATAACGCGACTATCGTCGCACAGGAGCGATCACGAGATACACACGCCCGAGCACAGGAGTTTCACGGTGGGTAAACCGGTAAGGGTTCGACTCTTTCACCTTACGATCCCCTTTATAAACTTATTCTAGTCGGACGACCAGCAACGCACCGTTCAGGGCCTCGTGACGCCGCACCGTTACCATCCGGCACGTTCCGTCAGCCCGAAAATAATACCGAGCACGCCCACGGCGGCCGAGCTTAATATTAACCACGAAAGCAGCGTCTTGAACGATACTCTGGACGACTCGTCCGACAGTTACAGTAACACGAGCTATGTTTCGGCCGTCGGCAGCCAAGAGGACTTCACGTTGGTCGACTTGCACATGCAGGTGAACAGACTGATCGTCGATTCCCCGATGTTGATGTCCAGCTACGTCACGCACCTCAGTCAGGTCAGGTGCAACAATTGGGGCAGCATGGGGCAGGGCGACCAGTTTTCGCAGCCCTTGTTCGAGAAGAACCAGGAGGACAAGCTGGTTTACGTCGGTAAGTAACTATTCTTTTGTACCGAAATACTAGATAGTTTATTGTATTCCTTGAATATAAATTGTAATGTGCTGTTCGTTTCGCATAGTGTTCCAATAATATGTTCCACTTATTAGCAATGCCTGTTTCTCTTTTTTGATTGTGTATGAATAAGACACGGCGAAGACAGCATTGTTTGACTTCTTGAAATCCCGTAATGTGTCAGTTTCCAGCTGATGCGTGTCGCTTCTTGTCATAAGCGTAAAAGTTACTATTTCCACATTTTAATTATTGCAGTGAGTGTTATTTAAAAATTCGTGGCCATTTCGATAATAATAAAGATAGCTGTAAATGAATTTTGAGACCAAGAAATAAAGGTGAAAAGTCATGGAGAGCTCGTAAAAATTACTGGGCATGATTTTATTGTTGAAAAGTCTTCGGAATGATAGTACAAAAGGCGTCTCATCAAATGGGTCATGAAAAAGTATAGCTTCGTTGTTTTTTTATCAACAAATAGGTCAAAAATTTGTCAATTTTTGTTCTACGCATTATTGTAAAAAAACTATTAATCTTAGCAAAAAAGTTCAACAGACGATTTGATCTAGAGAAACTCATCTTTAAAATGAGACTTTATAAGTTAAAATTGCTTTATAAACAAAAAATTTATTGCAAAATTAAACGGAAAAAGTGCTTTTTTTAATTGTTTATAACTTTTTAAATAATTAATAAAATCTTACCAAACTTTCCCAAAATGTGAGTTGTTATATCTTTAAGAGATATGTAAAAGATGGACTCGATCGGTCAAATAGTTTTTGCAAAATTCCATTTATTTATCCCATTTTTGCAAAAAAGGCCCATTTTCAAATGACTGTTCCGGAGGCAGGGTTATGATTAAAACATTCTTTTTGGGCTCGTTTTCTCCGTAGGGACACCAAGTATCCTCTAGTTAAAAAAAATTAATTTTTTTTCAAATTTAGTTGTATACAATTGTTACCAAATAGAAGGTACCTTTTTCCCTGATAAACAAATAAAATAACTCTGCGGTTTTTAACTTTTGAAAGTAGTTATATACACCATTCGAAAGCTCGTAATAAAACCTACAAATTGAAAAAAAAAATTTCCGACAAATAGCTCCGGAGTTAGCATTTTTTTTTTTAAATCACAGAGCAATTTGTTATAGACATTAAGACCTGAAATTTTAACATTTTGTAAATGAAGGTTTAAACTTTATGCCCTGTTAATTTTAATTGAATTTGCCCATAATTGATCAATCCAGAGCCCGTCAAAGTAAGGGTACGCGGCAGTAGCCCTTCGGGGAGTGGTGGTGGGGGGACCCTCTCAACCAGGAAAAAACTGACAATGTCAAATTTGTACCATATTTTTTTTAATAGCTCGGGGTAGCTCGACGAAAAAATTACTTCTGGATTATTTCTACCATTGTAAAACCACCCTCTACCCCCCTAAAAATGAATTTTTTACATTTTTTTTTATTTGAAATGTTTTAGACAATAGTTCTCAATAAAAAAATGTTGTCAAAATTATTTGAACCCTTCAAAATTAATTTAACCCCCAGAACCCCCAAATTGAATTTGAAATTTATAATGAATTATTGTAAAAAAAAATTTCTACTGTCAGTATCTATGGAAATATTTTATATATTTTTATACTAAGTAATTATAAAAAAATATATTAATTATAATTTTACAAAATAATTAATCCTTTTTCATGGCCCATTTGATGAGACACCTCTTGTATAATTATCATTCCCAAGACTTTCCAAGAATAAAATCACGCCCAGTAATNAAACACCACAGATAACAAGTAAACACTATCACAACGACGATTGCAAAATCTGATTTCAGTATTCGGAGTCGCTGAGGCCACGTGGCTCTCCACGCGTATTGCGAATGACGCTAGAGACTACAGTTGTCCAGCTATGTAGTGGTTGAATATACTATAATTTCAATAATTTTTTTCTCGGAAACTAAGGATTTTACAAAAAATTTTTTCACGATATTGACTCCATTTCTCATGCCGCATCTATTCCCAAATTTTTTTGGATAAGTTGTGAATCGCCCTGTATAAAATATTTCCATAGATAGTGACAGTAGAAATTTTTTTTACAATTCATTATAAATTTCAACTTCAATTTGGGGGTTGAGGGGATTAACTTAATTTTGACATTTTTTTATTGAGAACTATTGTCTAAAATATTTCAAATACAAGGGTAGAAATAATCCAGAAGTAATTTGTTCGTCGAGCTGCCACAAATTAAAATAAAAAAAAGGTTCTACGTTACATAGAAGCTGAGATATTACAAATTTGACATTGTCAGTCTTTTGTTTATAACCAATTGTTCTGTGATTTTGTTTATTAGGGAAAAAAGTGCCTTCTATTTGGTAATAATTATATACAACTAAATTTGAAAAAATTATATTTCTTTTTAACTAGAGGATACTTGGTGTTCCTTCGAAGGAAATGAGCCCAAAAAGAATGTTTTAATCATAACCCTGCCCCCGGAGTAGTCATTTGAAAATGGGCCTTTTTCCAGAAATGGGATAAATAAATGGAATTTTGCAAAAACTATTTGACCGATCGTGCCCATCTTTTGCACATCTCTTAAGAATATAAAAACTCACATTTTGGGAAAGTTTGATAAGATTTTATCAATTAGTAAAAAAGTTATTAACAATTAAGGAAAAAACACTTTTTCCGTTTCATTTTGCAATAACTTTTTTGTTTATAAAGCAATTTTAACTTATAAAGTCTCATTTTAAAGACGAGTTTCTCTAGATCAAATCGTCTGTCGAACTTTTTTGCTAAGATTAATAGCATTTTTACAATAACGCGTAGAACGAAAAATTACGAAATTTTGACCTATTTGTCAATTTAAAAAACAATGACGCTATACTTTTTCCATGACCCATTTGATGAGACGCCTTTTGTATTATCATTCCCAAGACTTTCCAACAATAAAATCACGCCCAGTAATTAATAAATTCCAAATTGTTTCCTTTCCTGGTCTATTTAACGGATCGAGTAAAGCACATGAGAATGACGTAAAATACGCCGCGTGACTGCTTACTGTTTTCAATAACGAGTGGATTAAGATTTTTTTGCTAATTCCTGCTACAGGAGCCAGGTTTGTGCCTCATACGGAAACGCTCGTCGACGGGATAACTTCTCTTAAAATGGTATCGAAATCGGACGCGATGGGCAACAACAAGACGCCTACTTCTCCATACATGTACGTTTGGGACCAGGAGGACGTTGAGAATGAGTCCGGGTCTTTTCAAGAGGAGGAACTGTTGAGCGGACAGAGCGAGGCTGGGTCTAGGACTATCGTGATTGTGAAACTTAAGGGTGATTTGGACGTTATGATCAGCCCGTTACTCCTGGAAACCCTACAAAGGTACGGAATTGTCGATTGTAATAAATTTTTTTGTAAGACGTGAAAAAATTTTACTTATTTTAGATTCGTCGATGCTTTAACGCCAACCGTGGCAAATCTCCACCCGTTAACCGTCATAAACCACATCCACACCTCCTGCATTGGGCAAATCGAATCGGCAAACATACTGAAAACCACGGAAAACGTTGCTAAGCTGTGCCAGGCGCCTACCGCAGACGGTAAAGTCAAGGACATCGGAATCTACGAGGAAACGGTAAAAACCCAACTGCAAGCGGCCATATTTCTCCCGAAAGTAAGAAAATTCCGTAGCGCTCGCCACGAAAATCATAAAAATAATCGTTTTCAGGTTAACGTCACTCTCCTCCAAGTATCGATCGTGGAAGAAATCATCTCCTTCTCGGCGTTGGACAACATCAAAGACCTAACTTGCGTGTCGCTGTTTTCCGTTTGCTTCGATAACGTCACGGCTAAGCTGCACTGCGACAAACAAGCGAAAGAAGTCCTACAGAAATTCCTACGTCCGGCGGTCGTTCGTAGCGGCAGCAAGAAGGGGGGCAACAAGGCCAAGCTGCTGCTCGGTCTCCAGACCAACACCAACTCGGACGTGATACAGGGCGAGCCCGTCTTCATAGAAAGTTGCGAGAAACAGCAGCAGCAGCTCGTCATCTGCTTGAACATAGGCAAGGCGCACGCCCAGTTGAGACGGCTGAGGAACGAGAGCTCGCTCTTGGACGACGCCGTCATAACCGCCATCCCCACGTATAAATCCAAGGTGTTGTTCACCCCCACGAAGGTCAAAACGTTGCACAGGGGCGTCGAGTACTATTTGCAGCCCTCGTCGAGCGACAATAACGTAAGTAGTGCCGCGGCGCGTGCCGGCCTCGTGTGTGATTATCTCTTTTTAGGTTTCGCAAAGCGACGAGATAAGCAGCGAGGATAAGCTGGGCTTTATAATGTTTGAGTGCGGCCTGGAAGGCATAACGTTGAAGGTGGTGAAAAAGTCCCAGTTCGAGCACGTGGAATGCGAAGTCGCCACCGATAGCACCCTCTCGGACATCATAAAGTCACACGAGAACCTGGAGAACTCGGAAACGGCGCAATCGGCACACGCCACGCCTAAAATGGCCTATGCGAGGCCTCAGTCCAAGTCGGGTACGAATCAAACTCCGAAATTGGGCGAGAGGGATAAAAAACCGAACGTAGACGAGGAGAACTCCAAACGGGACGCCGAGGGCGCGGCTAGGGAGCACGCCATCATCGCGAAGGATAGCGGCAACGTCTCGTCTTGCATTATCGAGTTCAAGGTGGTGTGGTTCAACTTCGCAGCGCCGCCCAGGGCCCCGATCACCCGTAAAATTGATTACACGAGGTAAAAAAATTATTCTTAATGTACTTTTAAAAAAAAACTACTTTGCAGGCTGGACTGGAACTTGTTGAGTACGGCATCGCCGGCCATCAACGCCTGGATGAACCCCAGCAACCGCTTGGCCATAAGGGTGGTTCACATGGTTCGTACCATGTACAGGAGGTCCACCGCCACGATAGCTTGCCTTATGGCCGAGGCGCTGGAAGGACAAAGGATCACACTTACCAAGGTAAGCGTTTGCCGTTTTTTTAATATTTACGCGAGAATTACTTCGTTTTTTAGAGTCGTTATGGGAAACTCACCCCGTTAGCCCGGACGTTGCAGGAAGACCCCAGTTTGCAACTGTGTTCCATTCTTCAGAAATACTTCTTGGATTGTGACTCAGCGTACGTCGAAATGAACCTCCGGGAGTCCGAGATTCCGCAGTTGTTTACCCTGAGACAGGTAAACGTTTATTTTTAATGACCCGGATCGTGCCTCGTGATCCGCCAAAGTTATTTCGATGAATCGTTTGCGTTTTGTACGACTGATCTCTCGTTTTCGCAATTAGGGGGTCATAGTTTTGAGCAGGCAGTGGAAGAACACGCTGTACACGCCGCTGATGCCGCCACACACCGGCAAATCGAGGATAAAACCAGTGAATGTAACTATCACCGTACCAGACATCCAAGAGGTAAATTCGGTAGTCGATAGTTTTAAAAATGTTTCACGTTTACGCGTTTTTGACTCAGTAAGTTGTTCAAGAAATTGGTTGAGAAATCGTCGCAATTTCATAAATTTGTAACCTTTTTACACGTTCCAATGAGTTGGATTGATATTATGTAATTCAACTAAAGTAGGTCGATGTCAGAGGTCATCGACACTGATATTCAGAAACTAAACACAGTGCTTTCAAAAAATAGTTAGAAATTATCTTTTTAAACTTGAAATTTTGAAAAAATATTTCAATTCCATCAGATTAGTAGTCATTTGTTTATTTATGAACATTCTTCATAATGGTGCTCTACTGCAGATAAAGTTGGTACAACTTTATCGTGCGATTCGTGTAGCTTCTCAAAATATGAATTTATAGCGCCCATAACTCTCGTTGCTCTTGAATTTTTGTTCACTATACCTTTTTTTAATCTTAGGGAGATGATATTCACTGGGTGCTAAATCTGGCGAATAACGCGGCTGGGGAAGCAATTTGAACTTTAATTCCTTGATTTTAGTCATCGCCAAAAACAATCAATACTAAAATTTGTTTAAAAGCTACATATATTTGTCAAAATTGAAGAATGTAGCTAAATTTATTGATATTAAAAAAAATGGTGAAGATCGTCAAAATTCGCAAATAAATTAGAGCGAGTTCTATTGTCCAATTTTTTGGAATGAGCAAATAAAAGTTGGCCAATTTCTTGGTAAATTTATTGGGTCAAGAATTGATAAATTGAAGGTTTTAACTGTTTTTGAAACAAATAATATACGGCACAGAAATTAAGGGATATTAAAAAAATCTCAAAATTTTTGGTGAATTTCAAAGAGCTGTAACTTGGAGGGAAATGGTCGTAGAGAGAATGAAAAAAATAAGGAAATTGAATCTTCAGGTGTCTAGTTTTCAGATCTGCAGTTTAAAATTTTTCAGCATCAGCGGTTTTCGAGTAATCATAAGTAAATCAATGAAAAAAAAAATTGTAAATTTTTAGCTTTTTTTTAAAAAGGCTTATGGATTTAAAAAAATTTTTTCTGGTAATTTCATCATAAGGCTCTTTTAGTTAATTTTATTCTCTTCAATTTGAGCGGTTCCGGTGCCTTGTACGATTATTTGTCGCCAAGTTATCGTCGATGAAAGCAAAAAAAATCATTTTTGACTTTGGCAATCAATTACTAGGGAAATAATGGTTGTACAGAGATTCCAAGCAGGGTTTTGGAAACTGCAAAGTATTCTCTACAAGTCGTAATTATGGGTTTATGATAAAAAAAATTTTTCAAAGTGAAAATGTTGGTTAGAAAAAAGGTAAAAAATTGCATAATTAGGGATATTTAAATAACTTGGCATAACTTTGCAAATAATGTTAAATCTGATAATTTCAAAATGCTGCGATTTTTTTTTCCTAGCGCCCGGAATGTTTAAATATGTCGTTTTGCTGAAAATCAATGTAATGAGTAATTTGTCACTTTTAATTCATTTTTTTTTAAGTTAGAAATGATTTTTTAGTAATAATCCATTTTTCTTCATCAAAAAACGTTCATGATTCTAAAATTTTCAAAATTTTTTTAACGTGTCCACAATTCTCATCTCTACACCGCAAAACGTATGAGAAAGTTTCTTCACGCCAACAATGTGGTAACTCTCAACCATGTTTAGGATATGCTCGGGCGTCGATGAGGACAAGATTATCCGTAATTTCAAAATCATCATCAATTGACCCAGGCTCTTTTACAAAGTTGGCAAGGAATTACGCAACGAGACATCCGATGGTGCATTAATATGCGAGACCGCTTAGAATCGGTGATCAGGAACAGAGACGGCAATACCCGATACTAAATTGTGATCTGCGTCAAATCAACCAAATTTTTTTAGACGTTTGTGAAGCTTGTGGATATGTTTTTTTGATGAAGAAAATATGGATTATTGCTAAAAGAAACATTTTCAGCAAAACGACAAAGAGTGACCGCAAAAAAAGACATTTTTCCGCCTCTTTTTGAGACTTTGACAGAGGCGACAGGGAAAATCCTAAAAATATCCAAAAACTCGTCATGAAAAATGAAAATGAGCATCACTTTCAGTTTTTCGAAAATCACCCCTATTTAGGGGTTGAAAAGACAAAAAAAGTGAACAAATTAAGAATCATCAACAGTTGTAAAACCCCAAATATTTTTATGTTGTTATCAAAATAATATTATGAACGTGAAAATATCTAATTTCGTATTTGTTACGGTCTTGTCCGGATTGAAAATCAACCCTTAATGTCCCTAAAGGGGTGAAATCATCCCCTAAACGCCTAAAAATGCAAAAAATATATTAAAAGTAACAATTTTTTTTCGTGATAATTAAACCGTTAATAACCCAGAATCACTAGATCCGAAGGAAAATACCCCTAAATGAGGGTAAAACCATCCATTTCAACCATCGGTTTCAAAGTGCATAAAATAATTATAATGCATGAAAAAAATAATGTTTCGAAATACATTCATTAGAATAATTTATACAAAAGTATTCCCATACATTATCAATCATTTTCAAAAATAATCATCCCTCTCAAGGGGTAAAATCATCCCCCAAATTGTAAATAATGTGAAAAAATATTATTTTGATATCAACATAGAAATATTTGGAGTTTTACAACTGTTGATGATTCTTAATTGTTCACTATTTTTGTCTTTTGAACCCCTTAATAAAGGTGATTTTCGAAAATTTTCGAAAAACTGAAAGTGCTGCTCATTTTCATTTTTCATGACGAGTTTTTGGATATTTTTTGAATATTTTTAGGATTTTTCCTGTCGCCTCTGTCAAAGTCTCCAAAACAGGCGGATTTTGCGGTCACTTTTTAAACATTCCGGGCACTAAGAAAAAAAAATTGCAGCATTTTGAAATTATCAGTTTCTTTAGGACACTTTGAGGTTGAAAAGTTACAGGCGATATTCTTAGTTTATTCATTACGAGTATTTGCAAATTCATGCCAAGTTATTCAAATATCACTATTTATGCAATTTTTTTTTCTAACCAACATTTTCACTTTGAAAAATTTTTTTTTTATCAAAAACCCATAATTACGACTTGTAGAGAATACTTTGCAGTTTCCAAAACCCTGCTTGGATTCTCTGTACGACCATTATTTCTCGAGTAAGTGATTGCCAAAGTCAAAAATGATTTTTTTGCTTTGATCGGCGATAACTTAGCTACAAATAATCGTACAAGGCTTCGGAACCGCTCAAATTCATGAGAATTAAATGATCTAAAATAGCTTTATGATCAAATTACAAAAAAAATTTTTTAAAGTTCATAGGCCTTTTTAAAAAGAGCAAAAATTTACAATAATTTTTTTTCCGTTGATTTACATATAAACACTCAAAAACTGCTGATGGTAAAAAATTTGAAACTGCAGATCTGAAAACTAGACACTTGAAGCTTCAGTTTCCTTTGTTTTGATTCTTTCTACGACCATTTCCCTCCAAGTTACAGTTCTTTGAAAATCACTCAAAATTTTGATTTTGATAAATTTTTTTTATATCCCTTAATTTTTGTGTCTAGTGTATATATTTTTTTAATAAATAGTTTACGTAACAATGAATCAAACAAAATAATCTCAATATATTAAATTTTAAATTTATTTTAATAAGTTCAATGAGTATAATAGTCCAGTTACTCAGGGTTTTTACCTCCGAGTTCTTTATAACTGAACCGATTGATGTGAAATTTTGACTAGTGAATGTGGGGAATGCCTCAAGGAACAAAACTTATATAGTGCCGAAGTGTGCTTTTGCCCTGGGGGTGGTTCCCACCCTTTCTCGGGGATGGAAACTTTTACGCCCAAAATAACCACAAGAATCGATAGAGGAGTCAATTTTAAGTAACAACTGTTATATAAAGTTTTTTGGATAATCCAATACTTTCCGAGTGATTCGTCATTGAAAATGTTGATTTTTTACTGAAAAAGTGCTTGTTTTCGGACAGTTTTTTGCAAATAACTCTGAAACCACTGGATTTAACGAAAAAGTTGTAATGAACAAAAAGAAAGGTAATAAAAAACAAATCTATTGGCATTATTTTGTTTTTCTCTAATTGCAATATAAACCGAGTTATGGATTTTTAAACATTATTATATGTTGACTAAAAACTAAATTGGGACCAGTTAACGTTAAATAACGCCAAAACCATAAATATTAGGAAAAAAACTATTTGAACTTTTTTCAAAGTACTTTGAAAAACCTTTAAAATGAATTGTTTTAAAAGTCTAGAATCAAAATTATTGGAAATATGGTCGAAATAACTGATAGTCTTATTTTTTTTTTAAGAAAAAAGTAATAAACAAATCAGTGCCTTTGGCGACAGAATTAAAATTAAATGCAATTCATTTACAGATTTCTTCATTTATGTTCTAAGAATATGTTCTGGGTCTTTGGCTCACTTACAGAGCACGATTTCGAAAGAAAACTTAATTTTTGAAAATGTAAATTTTTCAAATTTTTGAAAAAAATTCGATTTTTACGCTGTAACTTAAAAATTATAGGGTGTACGAAAAAAATACAAGGGTAAAAAAATTTAGTTCTATTTTTGCTGAAGATTTTGTTTTTATTTCTCTAAAATTAATATTAATCGAGATATCGCCATTTTAAGTTATCATATAAATAACAGAACCACCCTCTTCGAGCCCTTTAAACCCTTCAAACTTAAAAATGAAGGGCTTAAAAAAGATCAACTCAACAGTTCAGGTAGCCCTTACATTTCCCTGCAAAATCAGCCTTTGTGCGATAAAAAATCTTAAAAAGTAAGAAAGTTATCGTCAAAAAAATAAACACGTGTATAGGTGATAATTTCAGGAAAATTTAGGTCAAACAAGAATATTGAAGCATTTAAATCTTTTTTGTATATATACGTATTTAGAATGTGAATATTCGAATAAACCAGTACTATACTAACGAGCGTTCAAATAAAAACGTGGTCGAAGTTGGCTCTGACACATTGGACGTAGGGCGTAGCTTATAGCGACCAACTTAACCTCATTTCTCAACGAGCTGTATAGCAGCTGTCAGTTTCAATAACAAAGCGGCGAGATGACGTTTAAGTTCATTTGCTATACGCTACGCCCTACGTCCAAATTTTCAGAACCAACTTGACCACGTTTTTATTTGAACGCTCGTTATATTATAACTACTATATTATAATAAGGGAATACATTTTTATTTAATTCGAATGCACATTTAAAATGTTTCTACACTTTCAATAATATTTTTTCATTTTATTTTCGAAAGAAGGGTCATTTTTCAAGGGTTGAAAAGTTGTAACCGATAAAAAACATTTTTTAATCAAGAAATCGATTTTAATTTAATAAAAATGCATGATTAAAACGTTTCAAGTTGAAATATATATATATTATTTTCATCCAAAGGGATGGTTTTTAAAGGTTTTTCCAGGTTGAACATTTGGGATACATTAAGTTTCATGTTTCATGAAATTACTCATACTGCACAAATAAAAAAGATTTGATTACATAAAACGCTTAAATTTGTATTTTTTCTTTTTTTTCCAATAAGGGGTGGTTTTCACCCCTTAAGAACAAAAAGCACACCTAGCGCATATATAAGTTTTGAAGTGGGGGGTAAGATGAGCCTAATTCTAAATTTTGAGAAAAATCGATGCAGTTATAAAAAATTCGGAGGTATTACTATGTTTCCAGCTACAGTAACTGGGCTATAATTGCAAAATTACAATTTAGCGAGTGTCGAAATTTTGTCAAGTCTAATATGATTTTTGCTTGTATAATTTAGTAGAACGCTACGTTGAACATTTTACGGGTAAAACGAGTGGCGAGTCACGAAAGTAACCGTTATAATTTGTTTATTTTTTCTCCAGGTGAAGCCTAAGTATGAGTTTGACATAAGAGTCGTAAAGAACAGTAAGAGCCGCATCAAAAAAGTGTCTAATTCTTGTTTAGGTAGCTTCCTATTCTCAGGCACTAACTCATACTGTCATAGCGGGCGGCGGGGGTCGCCGGCGAACCTTCGCTGGCCGCCCCCGCCGCCCCATAGTACTAAAATTTCGTATAATTTGCTGTGCTTACCTTGTACCAACAGTCACCCTTTTTTTGTGCTTGTTCACCGTTTCACAGGAAGCGTGCATGACGGACGGTGAGGCGAGCGGTAACGAGGAACCCGACATTACCGACGAACATGCGCGGTTGCTACACGCTGGTATCATTCTTAAGCCAAACGCTCATAGAAACATGGGTAGGTTAGGTAATGATTTGGATGTTTTCGTACTATTTTGGGGGCGTTTTCGACCCACCACGGCGTTTTTAAATTTTGCCACGACATTTTTTTCTTGTTGCCATGAAAAAAAAAAGAATGAATAATCAGTTGTTTTATATTTTTGAACGTTTTTGAGTGTGTAACCACAGCATGCTTTAGCATCTTTGTGAACTAACCCAGAAGTAAAATTTTTTGTTCACTCGAAACGATTTCTTGGCATCGCTTTTTACACTTAGATCACAATAGTTAGAGCTTTAACATCACGACTTTATTTTTTTTTATGTCTCAAAGGTAAGCTAATACACGGTTGAAAAAAATAAAGTTTTTATACACCCTCAACATCGTAAAGCGAACAAGACGTTTGAAAAACGTCCCTCACGAACGAGTATCAGCTTATCTTACGTTAAAAAGACACAAAATCAACGAGATTTCCACATTCGCAGCACCCGTGAAAGAAAACATTACGCTGATGACCCACTCGCCTCGTATGGCGAGCTTCGCCGAATCATCCATCCACACGCCTCAGGTAGCCGTGGTTTCCGGGGGCGTAGAGAGCGTCCTCACATCGCCCAGTCCGCCAGGTAAACGCAAACCCCACAGTGGTACGTATACGTCTCAAATCCTACGTTTTCAGTGCCCCACCGAAAACGCAAAAAGAGCCTCCTGCCCTCGCAGCCCCCTAACAGTAGTCGTGCCAGTGTCGTTCTCCCGCTTTTAACTAACGCTAACATATTTAACGCCAAGCGTGCAAACGACGACAATATATGTGAGTAAATCTTGTCTTATGCGATTTTTGTGCTTACATTTAAAAAAAAAACGCATACAACGTATCTACACTTGGAAACTGTTAGGTTACGGGACGTTACGGGAAGACAGGACCGTCGTTAATTTGGGCTCGGACCCGAGCGACGTCTACAGCCATTCCAGCGCCGAGCTGCCTTCCAGTCCTATACATCGTACCGTAGGCCACACCCATTCATCTGAAGATCTGTATAGTTGGATGGCAAAGCAGGACGCCGTAACGTCTAATTTAGAAGGTAACACGTGCTACGTAATCGTACGTATCGGTGTATAATTTCATGTATCGTAGGATGTCTAGAATCCAAAATAAACACGCTGCACACTGAATCGTCGGGTGAGCCCGGCACCTTACCCAAAGAAAGCGTATCCCCCACGGAAGTCCCGTTATATCCCATACAGGACTCGGTGAGGCTCTTGGACGCGAACCAAATATTCCAGCCGCTGTTATCCGGCTTGGGAGTTATGCCGCAACAGCTGCGATTCACCACCATGTCCGATTCGAGTAAGAATAACACGTTTTACGTATTTCTCTACGTCTAATAATTGTATTTCAGACGCAGGCAATGACGTTACGACTTTGGACGCACTGGGATCAAACTTTTGCCTAGTGGGAAACATGGAGACCATGAGGATCGATATAGTGGTGTCAGAGCACGGGAAGATCGAAAAGAAGAAGGGAAAGAATAAGGCGAAGAGACTGTACATTGATATAAACACGGGTAATATTGGTGGAATTTTTTAAACGTGTCATTAACTTTAATTTTTAGACGAATCTCCGGCGTTTGTGTGTGAAAAAATCGCGGTCGAACTGGAAATTGACCGAATGACCGACATGGCAGTGAACGAAATGATGAAAACCAAAAACGTGCTGTATATATCCAGGGGCCAGCTCAAAAATCATACCAGCACTGTCATAAACTTTACTATAGGCAAGTGTTAATTTTGACAGTCAAATTTTTGACGTTTGACATTTGTTTTGACATTTGGCAATTGTTTTGAATTTTTTTTAGGCGTACGATACATACACCAAAGGGTTAACATGCCGTTATTGCGACTTTTGCATCAGATAAGCAACATGTACCAAAACGTCAAGGACACTCAGAACGAGCTGAGAGAACAACAACCCGTCGAAGTTAGGCGGCCTAAGACGAGCACTAGCGATCACATCGACATCAAGCACCACTCGTCAAGTAAGCATTTTAATCGAGTTAACTTCTTCATACAAACAATTTTTTTAGCTTCAGACATACAGTACCCTGTAACGGACGTCTCAAAGCAGCTGACGTTGAAAATCTCCGATCCGGGATCCTATTCCTCGCAGAACAAACCGATCATTTCGCCCTCGCCTAGCATCAGGTCCAGGCCTCAGAGTTTCGCTCAAAAGTTGCGCTCGACCGGTAAAAGCGTGAAAGGTTACGTTAACCTCAGCGAAGGCGGTGGAACACCCATGACCATGTCTAGTCCGTCGGGTTCGGCTCTGGAACATATAACGGTGTCCTCGGATAAAAGTACGGGACGTTGTTGGAAAACGATATATTACCTGTTGGAACTGTACGCTAACATGCCGGATACGAAAACTATTAAACACAGGTGCGGAACTTCAAACTTGAAAGTTTTTTTGGTTAAAATACTGATTTTTTAAGGTTTTCTATCGGGACGAACGATATTTCCGAACATTACAAGGGTAACAGGAAGTACGATATCCTCACCGAAGAGATGAAGTCCTCCGAAGAAGTGGATAAGCGAGACAGCGCGCCGCCACTGCACCCTATTAGGGAAGCGAGCGAAACTAGAGGCACGACGTCCAACGAGCACACGAAATTGGTTGTTTTTGGCCTGGCGAAGATCCACCGTACGAGACTTCTCGCGACGTTATCAGGCTTGAAACTTGAAGCGGAAATAACCAGCCTACACTCTAGTTTGACTTGCCGTAAAAAGTCCATGCCGCAAGTGTTGGAATGTTCCTTGACGGGACAAGTGGGTCGTACCATGATCGTTTTATTGGAAGGCGTCGCGCCGAATCAGCAAACCGTTGTGAAAGTCACCATCGGTAAATATATTTAACCATTTCCGCGCAGTTATGTAAAACTTGTTTGTGTTGCAGGTAAATCGCAAGCATTATACTCAAGCGTCACTAAACGCCAGAAGGACAAAAACTCTGGTTTGTTGACAGTTGGTGCGGTGAATATAGACATTCCGCAGCACCCCGTCGCCCTTCACGGGATGGTAACCAGAGGCAGCAAACAACTGAGCTCTACATTGCAAGAATTGAGGGTTACGAGGACCTCGAGTCGGTTATCTCGCGGCGTGCAGGCAGAGGAAGAACAACAAAGCTCTCCGAACCACCAAACTAGAGACATCCCGGCGCCCACAGCTGCGGTAAGCAAAGGTACCTCCCCGGAGAAAAGTTTCCTCCAGCCGTTGGTGATGCAGTTTTCCGTCATACTACAGGTAATCGCTACTGTTTTGTATTTAAAAAAAACTAGTAACGTTCTGTCGTAGAGTTTGAGTATAACCGCAGCGCTGCTACCGTCGCTCCAAGCCCAGTACAAGATGGACCAAGTCAACAGCACGGGTTTCACTGGAAGCAAGGCGAAATTCACCATAGACCTACCCCATCATTCCCTGAGTTTCACCACAAAACTACCGCAAGGGTACAACCAGAACGAGAAAGCGGAAGCCAACCTGCCTTCCGAAGCAAGCATCGCCCTTCCCGCTGTCCACGTAGCGGCGGAATACATTCCAGAGAACGCCGCTAGCGGCGTACGAGAAGGCGTGCACGGGCCCGAAGGCGTAGTCTTCAGACAGGGAGGATATTTGAACGCCAACGCTGAAATTGGGGTCTTCGAACACAGTTTGACCACGGATCTGCTCAACCACTTGGTGTTTGTACAGAAAGTGTTTATGAAGGTGACATTCCGCTTTGACGGTGCTGTGCTTTGTAATAAACGTTTGGTTTTGTTGCAGGAAGTGAACGAGGTCGTGCAAAAAGTGTACGGAGGCGAGCGGCCGGTGCCCATATGGTTGGAAGACACCGAAGAACCTTCTACTTTGAACAGATTACTGTTTTCTCTGGTTATTAAAATTCAGAGGATACAGTTGACCGCTACGACTGCTGGTAGTTCTGCTGTCCGACTAGAAACAGGTAGAAATTATGACTCGATGCCTACTGGCATAAAACATTACTTTGCACCTACTGGCGTAGATCGCTCTGAGAAACATAACCTATAAATTGTATATCATTAACGCTCAATGCCTACTGACAGAAAGCATTGTTTTGCACCTACTGGAAAAGTGACCTACTCTGTAGGTATTATATTACAAATAGCTTTTAAATGTTGTTTAAGCATTATTATTTATTTGTTTGGTGTTTTTCAGGAGCGGTAGTGTTGGAATTGTCAAACAGGGTACAGAACGTCTCCGGTTCCACGCAGAGTAACGCCACTGCCAGGCTTTTCGGAAAAGCCCAAGTCGACTTGAACTTATCCCTAGGCCAGATCATTAGGAATGCCGTTTTCGAGGAGGCGGACATCGAGTACCAACCCGTGGCTTTCTTCAACACCAGGATAAGCCTCCGGAATGCTTTCCAAGTAAGCTACACCCTTTTTTTTCAGTTGTCCTTTAACGCAAACAATTTCAGGATGAAATCGTCGAGGGCGAAGACAAAGAAGTCGTGCTGATCACCCTGAAGAGGCCCCTGATCTACATCCAACCCGTTGCGGTCGACAAAGCTATCCTCGTGTGGCTGAATTACAAAAACGCCTACGACTACTGGAACGAGAAACGTGCCAATTTAAACAAGGAAGTGCTCAGCGCCACTCAGCAGATTTACGAAAAGTTCCAATTCGGCCAGTTGACGAGTCAGCTGAGCGCGCCTCACCTCGGAACGCTGTTCCTGCAGCTCACCGTCGAAGACATGGGTATTTGCCTGCCGTTGAACCCGCTGCCGCTCGCCAGCTGGAGCCAGAGGAACGTTTACGAAGAAAGTCGCGGAGCTGTCGTGGTAACGTTGGAAAACACCAGCATTTCGGGTAATTCTTAAACAAACCACCGTTTGGTGCATTAAAACAAATTTTATTTTTTTTAGCTTGCAGTTCCGGTTCGTTGGTGAGCAAAGGCAAGTTTTCTAACCTTTGCCTGCGTTTCGCGGAAGATTTTGAGAATTCTCTGGACGACTGGAAACCTGACATGACCGATTCCTCCATAATGAACCTCTGCGTGGTTAGCGACGGCACGTACGAAGTTTGCAGCAGAACTATCGCCGCTAAACAACCAAACGGTAACCCGTCCCATCCTCTTTTTCTCTTCTACAATTTTAACTTTACAGAAAACGCGAAATGGTTCCTCAACGTCCAGTGGCAAATGGAAGGCGTCGACATCCACCTCGATACGAACGTGGGCAAGCAGCTATCCGCTCTAGGCTATACTTTAACCATGCTGACGGGCGTGGAAGACAACGCAATACCCGTCGAGTACGACAGCGACGAGAACGACCAAACCGACGGCACTAGAGCCTCCCAAGAAAGCATTTTACCGGCGTTCATGTACGACCCCAACCTGGACAACAGGAGCCGCTCCAAACTCATAGAGAAGGAGATGAACGAGCAGGCTAAGATCATTAACGACCTGAGGTCTCTTGGTGCTTCGCACGGGACCATAGAAATGGAGATGAAACGTCTGCACGAACTCGAAACGATGGTTTACAAAGATTTTAGAAGGTATGACCGGTGGGAACACCAGATCTGAGTCCAACTGATATATTTTTTTTTTTTCAGGGATATGATACAGAAGTTACGCAGACAGAGCATGAGGGCGTCTTCTATCAAAGGGAAGTTCGGTTTGGGCTCGAAAACCAACACTTTTAGGTCTAAATCCTTCGTGGTACCGAATCCCATGCCCGAGGGCCGCGACAGGTGAGTGTCCGTACAGAATATTCAACGTAACGAAGCTGATACAGTGCATTTCATTTCTATTAGTTTGATTTTTCATTTTAAACGTTAAATGATACCTGCCGCGTCATAACCTTTACTCATTTCATGCTGCTCTTTTGATTTCTAACTGTTTTATTTACCTCCTTTGATATTCCTTTAGGTCAAAGTCTTTAGTAGTAGTGCCTAGTACTATTCATGAAACTGGTGGAAGGTTCGTATTAGTAGTTTTTAATTTTTCTATGCATGAGTTAAGTCTTTTTTTTAATAATTTCTAAGCTTTCGCTTGTGCAACCACAAAAATTCTGACAAGTTGTTTCTTTGTTTGCCCGTTTGTCCTGTTGTCATATCCCATCAGGCGGATTGATAAGTAGTTCACCTGCTTCAGAAGTCACTCACACTTTTAGGTAAACTAAACGCAGTGCTTTCAAAACTTGAGACAGTTTTAAAGAATATTTCAAACTGTCGTATTTGTATTTTTATTTAATTTTATGTGCATTTAATTTAATGTATAGATCAAATTAAAAGAATATAACACTTGTCAGTAATTTTTTACAAAATATTTTAAGGAACACAGTCCAATATTTGACATACTTTTCACTGTCATGTAATTTTTTAAATTTTAAACGTCCACATTTTTACGTTCGCTCACCTCGATCATCGAACTTTCTAGCCCCGATTGTACAAAGCTTGGCACGAACACGGCAAGCAGCTACGAGAGTTCTCCTAGATCGGGCCCGTCACGTTCCGCTTCTTTAAGGGTGAAAACGGTAGAGTCCGGTCCTAGAGTAACTTTCAGCGATACCCAAACGATGGGCAGGTAAAACGCCTCCCACCGACGTCCTAGTTCTTCATATAATTTCGTGTGTCCTAGGCAAAAATCCTTGCCAAGCGCCAGCTCGGACCTGAGCCTACCGGAAACGCAGATCGACTGGGTCGACCAGCTTGACATAGACGGAGACAAGGTCACATTAAGAAAGAAGCTCCCGGCTTCGTACGAGTCCGTAGAGGGGTAAGTATATGTTCTGGTAAATTTCAAATAGTGTCAGATCTGGTTGTTTGAGTGGCCACTGTACGAAATGTTTCCGATAGGTCCCTTTTGTTGGATTCGTTTGCTAAAGAGCAGCCCTATGCCTCGAGTTCTTACCAAACTACGACGAATTCTTCTGTTTCTCAGTCGACGGTAAGTCAGAAACCGACAGAGCCCAACATCGATTTGGAATTGGACGTCAAGGTGTTCATAAACAGCGGCAAGTGCGTTTTGCATACCAAGGATCCAGTGAGGGAGGAAGAAATTAAATTGTAAGTTGAAAACCGTTAGAAAATGTATATTTAAATCGTCTTTATGTTTAGGAACCGCATGCGCAAGGATCGTAGTTGTTCCGCTGGTCTGTTAGAATTCCCCACTTCGTCGAGTCCCGACGCTATAAGAAAAAACAAAGAGAAGTTAACGTCGCAGAGTAGTTCTTCGAAATTGAGAAGTACGCCTCACGGGAACTTGATAGACTTGACCATTTTCCACATACCAGGGATGGATGTAAAGTTGCAGTATCAATCAAAGGTATAACTATGTAATTTTTTCTAATTTGTTCGCTAAAATTTATGTTTAAAGGTTATAACGGACGAGGCAGCGCAGTTATCGGATCGTCCCGAGCCATCGCCCGATTTCGAGAAGGCTTTCCAGACCAAGACGGACCCGAGCCACCTAAAAATACCCCACAGCGACTCCGAGCAGATCAGAATCGACAAGGCCTTCAAGAGGCAAGAAACGCACCCGATCGACGTCAAAACTAAATATTTCAACGAGTACGAACTGAAAAGCTCCTCTTCCTTGCACGGCATCACGAACCCGAACTACGGTCACAGCCCCACGTCCAGCAAGACCAGTTTGGACGATCTGCAATTCGGGAACCTAACGCCTCCTCACGACAGCCAAAAGACGTTCATCGGAGTTCCTTTCAACAAGAAGACGGGCATTAAAAAAGCCTCGCTGTTCGCCTGGGCAACGTTACAGAGCGTACCCGAGGAGACCATCATCAGCCCGCACATTCTGGAGTTCCTCGAACAAACTTTAGAGCCGATCCCCGTGAAAACTATGAACGAAACTGGTAAGACGTCAAGGGAAACGTTTAATGTTTACGATTTTCAATTCTGTGCGCCTTTTCTCAGATACGTCACTTTTATCAACAGACCAAGAGCTTACGAACTACGGGAACTACGTTTACGCCAGCTTTCCCGTCGACGTTATCGTTTATTTCCACATGCAGCCCAGTACGTTTAGGTTTAGCTGTCTTCCGGTATCCCGAGTGGAGTGTCTCTTACAGCTGCCTTCGTTGGACATAATTTTCAGCTCGAAACGGGCGGAAGACGAATTATTTTGCAGGTAAAATCGAAAAAAACGTCAATAATAACAATTTACCGCCCTTTTTTTCTAGTGAATTTGGCGACGGTACCCCAAACAGCGCGGCTACGGCGGTGGGAGGTCTCAGTGTTACCGGATGCTTATCCGATTTCTCTGTGTATATATTCCATCCGTACGGGGGCAAGAAATCTGCCTTAAAGGAGGCGCAGTGGTCTCCGCTTTCCGACAGCGAACGTAAAGATTCGCTTTCCGTCAACGTCGAGTTCGTCAAGTTCCACTTGTCGCGATCTAGGATGCTGAATTTTAAACAGGAATCGGCAAAGGGCAAAGCGACGGACCAAAGTAGGGCCGTCATCAGGTTTTCCAGTGAGTGTAACTTAAAAAAATTCAAAAACCACCGCATTAATTCATTGTTTTTTTATAGCGATCATCGATATAGGTTCAGCGTCGTTCAAGTACGATATGAGGAGGCTAACGGAGATTTTAGCATTTCCGAAAGCGTGGTACAGACGTTCCATCGTAAGGAGGATGTTCTTGGGCGACCTCAGCATGTCCGCGCCGTTCAACGAAGAGGAAGAAGTAAATTCTTCACAGAACGCCTCACCCGGGTTGTCCAGAGGCCACGAAAGGTAGGGATTAGATATGAAATCATTTCTATCCGCTCGAAATCAAAGTAGTTCAAACGTACCGCAGTAGACTTTCATTCCATCAGTTTCAGGTCGAGTAAATCGGACAAATCGCCGTTGCTGAGCAACAAGGAGCGTCTCAGGCTCAGCCTGGATCCCGAATATTCCCGTCACGGTAAGCTGAAAGACATAGGCAAGACGTTGAGCTCTGATTCCACTCAGGAAGAGACGCCAAGTCCCTCGGAATATAAAAATATGACCGCTTGGGAGACCCTGGTGTTATTCGCCGTTAACTTCAAGAAATTGAACGTCCACATGAACATGGGCAACGTTATGGGTAACGTCTCGTAAGTATATTCGTTAGTGAAAGGCACATTTTGCGGGAGTTACGTCGTTTCCTTTCAGATGGTTGACGAAAGACTTCCGTAGCGACGGCAGGCTGAGCATTGGCTCGACCGGTCACAAGAATTTGTACATCGGTTTAGGCCTGGGCGGATCCGGTTTGGACGCCAAGGGAGGTATCGTCGGTGGGAATATAGAAATTGCTCAAATCGACACGTACAGTAAGTAGCGAAACGTTGTCTAGTTCGAAGAAACTTATAAGTTCCGTCGTAGTACATATCCGGGAGGAACCGGACATCGAACCGGATCACACCGTTGGTTTAAGGCTGCACGCTCTAGAATTGAGGTTAGATTATATGGCGACGTCCGTTCTGATGTGTCGCGTTAGCGATTTGAACGTGAATCTAAGGGACGAGTGGAGGTTAGACCGCGCGACGGCTAGAGATACTTTCATACCGACACGGAGGTAACGACAGTGTTTTGACGCAATTGATTTTTTAATTAAAAAAAATTTCAGGCCCGCGAGCATCTTCATGCACGGCGTTCTGAACTGGGACCAGTTGCAGATGATGATTTCCAAGTCGACGACTGCGGATTTACTGAAAATGTTTAATAAATTAGAAGAATTTTTCTCGCAGCAGTTCAACAGCAGCAAGAGGGCTTTCAGCGGTTTCGCGGGGTCCTCCAGACCCCCGCGGGTAGCGTCGCAAAAAAGTAAGTCTTTCCGTCACGGATTCTCACAATGATACAGGGTTTTTTTCAGTGGCTCGCGAATCGGCGCCCGTGATTTCCCATGCGGGCAACACCAACGACGCCAGACACCACCGCCACTGGCAGAAGGTCCTGGGTTACGTGGCAGGTCTCCAGCTCAGCACGATGCACGTGCCGCTTCCTCCGTTCGGGACCGTTTTGGGTGGGACGATGGAGCTACGCGGAAATAATATATCGTTGGCGTGCTTCCACGGCATCAATTTCAAGAGCAAGTCCTGGGCGCTGTTCAGTCTGAAGGAGCCCTGCATTAATTTCAACACGGAGAGCCAAGAGATACCTTCCACTTCGGCCGCTGGTACGTTTTATTTAATTTTTCGTGTCGCTTGTGCGCCGTTCGCTGTTTATGGTAAAGTAGATGCTTTAATAACAAAAAATTTGTGCCAATTATTAATGAATTCTATTCTGTTTTTTGTTGAGAGAGTTTCTTCCACATTGTCTTGTCGACACAAAATTTTACATAAAAATGAACTGTTGACCCATTTTTTTTTTAAAGCGTCACTTGTTAAGTGTTACGAATGATTTTCAAGGTGCTGCGACGAGTAGAATTGAGTATTATGGCTTTGAGATGGTTTTTGAGCCGTTCGTATACTGAAAATTTATTGTTTAGCATAGCTTCTGCTTGAAATTATGTTTTAACTACATTTTTTTGAAAAGTTAAGTCATAGGCTATTGACCATGTCAAAAAAAAGAGGGTACAAAGGAACTACAACGTAGTTTTGGGCATATTTTTAACAAAAATATGCCCAAAAAAAACTCGTAAAAAAAACCCGAAAAAATTAAAAGTTATAAGACGAAAATCGTCAAAAAAGGGCAGAAATTGGCCAAAAATCCAAAAAGTAGCCAACTTTGATCCAATGTATCTCGGTTTCTATTAGTCGTAGGTACTTCTATAAAGGCTTATTTTAAAGGAAAAAACATTAACTTTTTTATTCTGTGAAGCAATGCCTATACCTAACTCCTCTCAGAAAAAAGTTGTGGGCCAAAAACCAAAAAGAAAAAAAAACGCATTTTTTCGGGTTTTTTTTACTCGTTTTTTGGGCATATTTTTGTTAAAAATAATTTTTTTTGACTTCAAAAGGTCTCATTTCGATTGGAAATTCAATTTGCTACAACTTTTCTGTTGACAACTATAGTGAAAAAATGCCTAGTTTTCGAGTAAAACTCAAAAAACTGAAAATACCACTTTTTTACTTCAGTCAAAAGAATTTCCGAAATTTTTCGGTGATTTTTGACAGACTGTATTTAAGTGAAAAATTGTCGTATTGAGAATTTAAAAAAAGCATTTTGAAGCTCTAAGATTCTAGTTTTTAGATCTTTGGGTCGAAAAATTTTAGGAGCTACGGTTATCATGTAATTCTAAGAAATAGCGGGACAAAAAATTTTTGTAAATTTTGTTATTTTTTTCCGAGTTCACGGACTTGGAAACATTTTTTTCAGCTAAGCCATTGCCTGGACCAGATAGCTTGTTTATTCAGGTTCAATTTCCTTTTTTTGAATTTCGATACGACCATTTTTCATCAAATATCGGACTTTTAATTTAAAAGGATCCTTTTGTCTTTAATCATCGATATCTCGGCGACAATTGGTCGTACAGAGAATTGAAGGGCAGTTTCGAAAACTGTAATAAATGTTTTTTTTTTTTAAATTTACGGCTAAATTAGAAATATGCACGAAATGACTAATGTTAAGCATTACAGTTCGATATACCCAGAAGAACCCTGTGAGGTTTCATCTCAATCTAACGAACCGTCTCTTTGTTTCAAACAGTCAAACTTTTGAAAAAATTAAAGAGTCACGATTTTTGAGATTAAACACTTCATAATCATGATTAAAATGGAAAAAAATTTTTAAATTATTTTTCAGAAGAAAAAGGGGTTTTGAAAAAAACTGTTTTTTAAGTGATTACAGACTGCACAAAAATTAATTACAAAGTTTCAAAAAACGGTATGAATCAGGATCGAAATCTGGTTTGGGTCATCAACTTTAATTTTAATTTAATTAAAAGTTGACGAACAGAAGCATAGGACGAAAAAGCCGAATAGAGCTGGAAATAATTGGAATTTGTTTTCTTCAATGTCTGGAAAGTTTTCCAAAAAAAAAGCCAGAAAATTTTTTGGAAATTTTTCGAAATAATTTTTTTTTAATCAATTTAAAAGTTATTTGCAATAAATATGTGAGAAAACCTCAAAAAAAAAAAATTATAAACTGTTTAAGCTCAATAAACGTGAACCTTTAATTTTTTTTAAAAATTTGACTTTTGAAACAAAGAAACTGTTCGCTAGATCAAGATGAAACTTCACAGGGTTCTTCTGGCTACATCGAACTGTAAAAGTCATGCTTAACATTAGTCATTTCGTGAATATTTCTAATTTAGCCGTCAATTTTCTAAATTAACATAAATTATCCTTTTTTCCTGTTTTTTTGAATTCCTGTAAAAGACGAATGATTACACTAGGGAAAAAGATGTTTGAAAGAATGTACTAAAAGAGTTTTGCGGCGATTTTGTTGTCCTTACCTTTGAGAGTTTCACTATGTCGGCTCACTCGCTTGCAGCAGAAACTAGCACCCTTGCATCAATTTTGTCTATCACTATCATAGTGTACCATATATACAATTAGTCCAAATACAATTAGTCCAAATTTGAGATCTCAGTTGCGTGTTGTCTTGGTCAAAGCTTTTCACATACACACACTTTTTTAATGTTGAATGTCGACTTATATCTGCCGACTCTTCTCCCTTCTCTTCGAATCTTTTCCCCACCCTCGGTTCGAGGACAAGGACAACATGAAATAAAATCGCGCAACGCGCGGTGATTTAAATCAAAAAGAAATTAATTAAGAGAGAAACGCAAACACGAATAGTTGCTAAGTTGTCGATGAGAAATCCAAGAAAAAAATGAATTTTTTTACAATTTTTTTATATTTTTTTGTAATAACACTTAAGCCCATGTTTATTTTTATTTGTATAGAAAAATTATAATTTCTGATGTTATTTAGAAGCTGTTACAGCAAAAATCTCCGATTATATGCGTTTTACCCAAGTTTTTAAAGTTTTTAAAACAGATACCGCCTGGACTATAAGCAAAAAGGTGCTAATGAACGTACTAGAGAAAAGTTTTGTGGCGATCTCTGTGGTCCTTACCTCGAGGTTTTTACGATTTCGATCCTCTCCGCCTGCAGCATCCTGCTATTTTTTGTTACCTCCACCTCTAAATAACGTACAATTCTACAAAACTGTTTTTTTTTTTTGTAGAAGAGGCTCCAAAGCAAGACGTTCACATAGTCCAAACCCTGACCTGCAGCCTAGGCCTGAGCACCTACAAAACGCACCTCTCCATGGCGACGGTTTGCAAGGTATCGAGAAGCGTCATATTTCCTCCCCAGTTCAAGACGTTGCAGGAATGGTTCCATTACGCCTTCGCCAACAGCCAAATCGACGGTGAGTGCAACACTCGCCCCAAAACACACCCGTTTCGACTAATCGTTCTTTTACCGCAGAGGTCGACAGGTTCCCGTCCCTGGAACGGGAACGGCAAGACGGCAGCAACTCCATAGAGAGAACGAGGAGCAGCACGTCGTCCCCGAAACTGGGCGACCCGAACCACAACAGGGAAGTCATCTTCGCCGTGCCGAGCTTGCAGCTGCACCTGAAAACGGAACATCTGCAGACCGCCGACGTTCCCGATCTCTCCGACGAGAAGCCGTGCGTGGAATGCAGTTTTATCACCGATTTCGAGGATCACATTTTTGTCACCGTCGACGCGGAAGCCTTCTTCTTCCTGCACGACCTCATCACGTCTTACGTCAAAGAAAAAGAACGAGTGGTAAGACCATTCGCTCACCCCTTCGCTTGTCGATTACCGATTCCGTTTTTTCAGCTCGGCGGGCTGGACAAGCGTTCCAACTCGGACACGGACAGGCCCAAGCCCACGTTCAGCGAAACGTCCTCCAAGAAGGGCTCCATCGACGTGGACATCTTCGCCAAGGACTGGCGCAACTACAACTGCAAGACGTGGCACTTGGAGCCGACGGTGCGCCTGCTGAGCGTGGCCGGGAAATATATAGAGCCGTACGGGATAGACTACATCCTGCAGAAGCTCGGTTTCTCCCACGCCAGGACGACGATCCCCAAGTGGATGCAGAGGGGGTTCATGGATCCCTTGGACGCCATCCTGGCGGTGCTGACCTTGCGGATGGTGCACGTCGTGAAAGGGGACGGGAATAAGGATAAGGAGAAGGCTGTGGAAGCTAAAAAGTGAGGTATGTATTTTTTTTTGCTAATCGTTGGGTAGTTGCGGAGAATTTTTTTTTTTAGGGAAGATCCTTGGTGTGGAGGTGTGCAGGAAGGCGTGGATACTCGTCGTTTCGTGTTACCAAAAAAGTAGCTTGTAGACGGTAGATATTTATTGTAGCGGGTAGAATCGATATAGGTTTTGAATTTGGTTCGGAGATATTTTTTTAAAGTCGTTTAACTCATGTTTCGTTAAGGATTTTAAGGCAAACAGAAAATGTAGTGTTGTATTGTAACGTTCGCTTATTCCCATCTCTGTCGACTGATTTTATGTTATTGTTTACTATTTACGAAATATAATTTTAAAACTAAAAGGCGTTTTTATACTCCCTTCACCTATATTGCGGGTACACGTGTCTACGTGTGACACATTTTAAGTATCATGTTACGAGCGCCACCCTGATGCCGGATCGGTCTAACAGTTGCAAGCGACAAAAAACAAACGAAATTCTGGAATGGGAGACACACACTATGATTCCAGGAAAAGGGCCACGGCAGATTGCGAGCGACTCCACCAGGCATTCTTCAACAAACGCTCGCCCCGATAACATTTCTCTGTACGACGTTTGTTTTCAATAAAAAATACCATTTACTTACCGTTGAGAGAGTTTTATGTTGCTGCACACCCAAAACAACCTTCAAGTTTCCTTTATATTCTTTTCCAATTTCTATACATTTAAAGATTTCGATTTCATATCCAGAGAAAAATGCATTTTGCATATTTGAAACAGTCCATTGGCGTTTATTGTACAATTTCCCCTGTAAAGGCTGCAACCCGTTATACAACACATTGTATTCAAGGTGTAAGATAAACAGTATAAAATAACAATCGCCTAGGCTCCTCCCATTTAACGTTTATTTCGCAAAGTAGTTAACAGATGGCCCTTACGTCCCAGATTTTGAAAAACATCGTTTCCAGCAGATCCTAGATAAATGATACTATAGATAGGAAACTTGAACAGATTTCGTGGTCATTAACAGCGCTAACTGTTGACACTTTCTCCAACTTCTATTGCTTTCCTTTTCTAAGAATGATCNTTCCCTACGTCCAATGTGTCAGAGCTAACAGCCAACTTCGACCACGTTTTTATTTGAACGCTCGTTAGATGGCGCTTACGGTGTCTGGCTCTGGGATTTATCTTGATTTTATTAGGCATTTCATGTAAAACAAAACTATTAGGAGCATTTTTATTAAATGCAAATTCGTTTTACATAATTATACAGAATGTATCAAAGAGACGCAATTAATAAAATTATTGAATTGTAACAATTAAGTTGCCATTGCAAATTGTCAACGTGACAGTCGCCTACTAGATAAATTATAGTTCGATAAAATTTCCACCCTATGCCAATCATCGCGTGTAATTGATTTTAAATAATTTTTTTGTTCAGAAATGGTTCATTTTACGAAAAAATTGCAAGAGACCTTTTTTGTTTAGAAAGACTCAGGCTATCTGTAATGAATATTTAAATTTTAAATGATAAGATATTAATAAGAAAAAAAATTACGTATGAAACAAGTCTTAGGGGTGGTTTTTTCTACCCTTTACAACCGTGGTGGAGAATCAACTAATTGTTTACCGAGTGCCTTCTCGATAGCAGAACAGGTCTACTTAATTTAATTTCTATCAGTTTTCACAAAAATTAACAAAATAATTTCTTACTCATAAGGAAAGCGATTATAGAAAATAATTAACAGTTGTCCTAAGTGTTCCCCTGTTAATCTTTTACCGTTCACGTTTTAGTAATCTCAGCATTCGCGTCATTGTACAATAACATGTACATGTCTGCCTCTGACCTGAAGCATCGCATCGATCAATTTATTCCCCTGTCGGCCTAGCGTGCCAGTGAATAATCCAAGTTTTTTGTTGAGGGACATTGACTGGGCATTCCATTGTCGTTTGTGCGTGTGTGCTTGAGTGTCTATGGCACGTGTTTTTATGGCAGTCAGTAGCATTGTGTATCGTGAGCATAGAGTGGCACAGGGCTGACCTATCTCTGCCATAACAATGCGTTTTTATTTGAAAGTTGCCACAAAGTTTCCGATGCCAAACCAATCATATACCTACTTTTATATTGTTTTTCTTTACATTTGTTGTAGTCACATACTTTTTATATAGAACACTTTTTCCACTCTACTGGAAATTGAACTTTTTTGACTCTCATGGTTTTTGAAATTCAAATATAACGAGCGTTCAAATAAAAACGTGGTCGAAGTTGGCTCTGACACATTGGACGTAGGGAGTAGCTTATAGCGACCAACTTAACCTCATTTCTCAACGAGCTGTATAGCAGCTGTCAGTTTCAATAACGTTAATGACTATATAACTTTATTTTAAAGAATAATCGTGATAACAATAACAAACAATTAAAGGAGCTGCGGAAAG